GAAGTGACCAGCACAGACATACTAGTTGAAGCAGAAATTGTGCCGAACACCTTGTCTCCTGCCCACAGCCTCCAATAGGAGCTGCTGGGCCCCCAGTGTGCCCCTTAGACTACTGAGTACCAGGACCAGGACAGTTAGTCCTCACGCAGTGTTGCGAGAGCTGTCAGTGTGAGGAAAGAAACCAGGGCACGCAGAATGCTGCTGACACTGTTCAAGAGCAAAAGAAGGGAGACTCACGAGATCAGCAGCCCTGCCGCAAGACTGAAAGCGAAGGATTTTCAAGACAGAATCCGATATACAGGAAGCCAAATAATATGGTCTTTCTGCTTCAAGGTAATTTCACCTCTAGAACATCTAAGTTTGGACATTGTAAAATGACTGGCATATGTAATGGGCTGAGCTACTGGAACTCTGGGCACTGTCCAATGACTGACGTATGCACAATGGTACACATAAGAGGCTGTGCCGTTGGAGCACGTACTGTGATCAGCATGTCCCTGTCTTCAAATGTTATCCTTCACACTCTGCCCTCATACACACTTTAAGCTGCTCAGATAAACAAAGCGAAGGTAAAGATAGGAAGGGGGGTGCGTAAAAGGATGCGATGTTCAGCTTATTGTGGACTTAGCTGCTGCGCGTTGATCAAAATCATCGTGACTCTTCTTCAGAGTCTTTCAAATGTAAACCTCAAGAGGCTTCCTTAAAGCATAAACATCACTCTTCTTCACTTACAATCGGATAAGTGTGCTGGCTAGTTTTATGTCAACTTGATGTAAGCTAGAACTCTCTGAAAGGAAGGAACCTTAACTGAGAAAATGCCTCCATAAGATCTGGCTATCAGGCACTTTCTTAGTGATTGATGGAGAGGGGCTAGCCCGTTGTGGGTGGCTCCATCCCTGGGCCAGTGGTCCTAGGCTCTATTGCTGCGGGAGTACCTTCTGCTGCTTCAGCCAATAGTCGCTGAAGCACAAGTCCAAGGTGCTGCGGGAGGGCCTTCCGCTCCCTCAGCCAATTGCCGCTGAAATACCAGCCCACTGGGGCGTGGTCTATTTCTCTTTTAAATAGAGCCACAGATCTCGGCTCGGGCCTCTTGGTTCCGGCGCTTGGTCCCGGCTCCTACTCCCGGCTGCTGCGCCAGCGACTAGGCTCCCTTCCTGACGGTTTATGGTGTATGTAAGTTTTACCCCCCAAAATAAATAACCCCTTAAAACATAACTGGTGTGGGATTGATTTGCCGTTACTCTATAAAGAAGCAGACTGAGGAGAGAGCATGTCACTGTCTTTGAAGCATGGGTCGTGCCCTGAGCCCGCCTTCTCTCCCCGTTCTATTTTCCAGTAGGCGCAATGCGAGCAGCGCCCTCAACCACACCCTCGAGTAGCTCAGCTCTTCTGCCTCTTCACAGGCCCAGCGACAGCAGGGAAAAGTGAGATGTTTACAATTCTACCTTTATTCATTTTTTAAATCATCACAAGAAACACAAGGGAAAACAATAATAATCAAAGGGTAATCGAAGTACCGCAAAGACATAGAAGGTCAACAGAAATTACCGAATTGGAAAAAAAAAATAATGTAAATAACTAGAATGCATGACAATAGGGACTCCAGGCCATGCATTAGGCAGACCAGTCTGCAGCTACATCACCAGGGATGTGGGTCACCAACAACAGGGTCTCCCCAGGCCAGCTGAAGTCGACACCAGGTGACTTGGAGAACCAGTGAGAAGACAAGGACACCCCTGCAGCCAGGACATGCAACCGTCACTTGGGCTTTCTAGTGAGACACCACTGTCACAGGGCTCAGCATTCATCTTCTGTCTGGTCAGACAATGAACTTTTCCAGAATAAGTGGATACCACCATCCCCTCCATGCCCAGAAAACCAATGCTGACCCCCTAAAACCATGCTGCTTCTGCAGCTCCTCACGTATCTGTTGATTGGGCAGCATCTCATGGGGGTGTGCTTAATGGAGAGAAGCCAAGACACATATCTGCACACATCCTCCTTCCCATATTGACAGTATGAAGGTTATTTAAATAATTTACCCAGATTCAATCAGCTACTGAGAACAAAAGTCCAGATAGGAACCCAAGCCCCTCTGAGATCCAAAGTCCTCAGTTCGTTCTGGAGTTAAAAGTAGACTTAAGTCTACACTTTATAGTATGTCCTAAACCACCAGGCTCAAACATAAGACAACTCATGCTATATACTAAGGAAATGTGTAGGGCCCTGTCTTCCCTGTTCCTCGAGGCCGAAGCACAGGATGCAAGAATTGTTTACGCTAACCAGCTTGGCTTCCCCTGCTCATTCTGCCAGCCGGAGGGAATTAGTTCAAAGCCTTGTCTCTGTCATTGCTATGATAATTTCACCTGCTAAGAAGGTCCTCACAGGCGCCCTAAATCTCCTCCCATCTTTCTGTCAGGGTTCCCAGCTCGATACCCCCTATATGGAGGCTCCTGCTGCTGGCGCCATGCGGCCAACACCCCTCTTCTCACTCCCAGGTGGGAGGGGGCTCTCGTCCTCTTGCCTCCAAGTATATAAGCCTACATGTGCTAAATAAAGTTGACATTTACCCTTTGGGCAAATGATCCGGTCTCTCTGTGTGTCGTGTGTCTGTTTCCAACTCCTAGGATATTGATCCAGACTCGTGGTCCCGTATGGGAAGCGCGCCCTGTACCAGGAGAGTGAGGTTTCACAGATAAGTGCAGGACAGAAATGGTGGTTTAATTCCACTCCAGTGGGTATTCTGTAGATGCCTAAAATGGACTCTTAGCACCACCACTGAGAAATTACAAAAGGTCGGGCAACTTTCTTAGCTCAGGAAGTTGTTTCTACATTCACAGAGAAGGAATGGCGAGTTTCTCATAGAGCTGATGTCACAGTAGTTTTAGAAATGGGGCCTGAAACCTGGGCTACAATAGGCACACAATAGATACCAGGCTCACACAGAAAGAAAGGTGAGACCAGGGTATGGCTTCAATGGAGTAAGAGGCTGCCCTTTCAGCTCTCAACAAACCTTCAACTCAGCTCCACACACACACACACACACACACACACACACACGCATGCCCACTGGTGACTGGAGGGGGTGAATTCAGCCTAAAGAAAGAGGCTGAAGAGGCCATAGACTTCTCGAACACCCATTTGCCAGAGTGGAGGGTGAACAGTTTTCATAAACACCTCACAAGGCTCAGGAGAAAGGGGGGGGGGTCACAAAAGACAGAAAGAGCAGCATCCTGACGTGCTGCATCCCTGAGAAGGCAACAAGCTACCTCCAGCTCGCAGGCACAGGCATTCCCAGATGGGAAGGTTTGAGAGGGCAGCGGAGAGAGGGCAGGAGCCTGGAATCTGGTTTACCAAACCCCTTATTGCTGACAGACTTCCTACGTTTCCCATCTACTCTAAGTAGACCCTTATTGTGATAAGCATCCCCCACAAAATAATTCCCTGTTTCTTGCGATCAAAAAGAAAAGCAAGTGAAACATGAGACTGGGGCCGGCATCCCCGAGGGACAGAGTGGAAAAGTGAAGACTTTGTGGGCATGCTCGGAAAAGATGCACTCCTGTCTCTCCCAGTCTTCTGTCGACGTCCTTTCTCTGTCACTGCAGCATGGCTTCTCTTCACCCTTCAAGACCCAGCGTAAGTATTCTATGCGCCTTTCCCAGGACCTCAGATGGAATACATTATTCCTAAATCACGAGAAGATGCGATGTTGACTCCTACTATGGTGCTCGCCTGTCCCTCTCCTAGTGACCAACTTTTTCTTGATATGCCATACCTCTACCGTAGACTGAAACCTGTGGCCTGTGCAATGCCCCATTCCCTCCATAACCCCATCAGTTAGCACAGTGCCCAGATGAGAAACTAACTCTTAGGTTGAGATGGCTCAAGTACTCTGAGTCCCTATGAAAGCAAACTGAACTGCTACTCAGAGCAGGATGGTCCACAGCCCAAGAAAATGAGACTCAAGTGGAATTAATCAGACTTCGCTCACCAGTCTACTCCTGGTGACTTCCCACCAGCTGTGGTTTGAATGTTCTGTTTAAACCTTGAATTGGATCATAGTGGCTGGTGTGGCAGTAGGGAGAGACGGGAGCTTCCAAAGTGTGGGCAGGTCACATCGTTGCCCTCAGAAATGGATGAATGCCATTTTGTGGGTGTGGGTTGGTGATTTGGGGAGTGGGCTCCTAATAAGAGACTGAGCACACTCCTCGGTTTTCCCTTGTCTTGTGCATGTCTGCTTAGTCGCCTCACACGGAGAACCTCTCTAGATATCAGCCTCATGTTTTTAGACTTCCCTACCGACAGAACTACAAACAAACAAACAAAGAACCTACCCAGTCTTTTGTATTACTTATAGGGTCTGTGGTTGTTTGAACATGAGCTGTGTCCTATAGGTTTATGTCCTTGAAGATTTGGTTCCCCGCTAGTGGCATTGTGGGGCAGGGAAGTTGTGGAACTTTGTGTTGATTGACAGAGGACATTGAAGGGCCAAAGACTACTGCAAATCAGGCTCATCTCCGAAGAGAATCTGCATTCTTGGAGCACGGGGATCCCTGTGTCACACCCAATAAAACCAAAACAAAAGATTAATACTAGATTCTAAGCCTCCAGCACCTGCATGTATGATCTTATACCCCTGGCCTACTAGCTTAATTAATTGATTGATTGACCTTCTTAACAATCCTGGGAAAACCTTGTACTATTTGATCCTATTTTCAAAGGGAGGAAAACAGATTTACAGTGTGTAAAGAACTTTCCAGAGGCTATAGGTGAGTGACTTAACCGAGTCCAGGACTGAGACCTAGGAGATCCTCTGGTCACATAAGTCTGCTCACACGTTGAGGGCATATCGTGCTATGCCCTCTCTGTGAAACACAGTCATTGCCCATCCCACTCTCAGAAGAGTTTTCTCTCTGACAATCTCATCCAATCATTCTGCCTTCCTGTTCTGTTTAAGCAGGTTTAGGGTGTAACATGAGATAACTTCTCCTGCTGATCCTTTTCCAAGAACTTCTTGCTCTTTAATCAGGGGCTTGTTCTCTGGCCTTTAGCTCACTTACAAAAGGAGGAGCAAGGGGAGAGAGACAAGATCCATTTACTGAGTCTCCACAGGCTGTCCCAATCTACCCCGTATGCCAGGGAGGGCATCCTGGGCACATACAGAGGAATCAAGGGATCTTGGATATGCTTAGCGGCATCAGAGAGCAAGACCAGGATCCCACCACTTCCAGCTCGCGTTCTGGAGATGCCAAGTGGCTGCAAGAAAGAAATGCATGGTCACATTTTCTGAGTTTGTCCCTTTGTCCCCAAACCAGGGAGAGCTGTTTTTCTGAGCCCCCTCGCACCCTCCTCTGCTCGTACAAGCACAGGAGCCCCGAGAAGCCCTCCTTGGAAATGCCAGAAGTGTATACACCAACCCCACCCCTGCAGCCCCAGGCAGCCGTCAACCTTGTCACTCGTCAGAATGACTGTAGTGACACAGTGGAGCTGGACCCAGTCAACCTTAGCTGATCTGCATGTGTAATTCACTGAGTACATCTGTCCGTCACAATGTTGTCACAGGGCCATTCCCTGGTAGGGTGTGTCTCGATGAATGGCCACTAAGGGGCAGAACGAACAGAAGTGAGGTTCCCAGGTCCGTCAACAGAGAAGACTGAACGTCAGTGTTGAAGGGGTTACAGGACATCTCCCCAAGAACAGTTTCCAGACTGTTTTGTATAGATGATTGAATGATAATAGTGATGAAGATGATGATGATGATGATGATGATGATGATAAATGAAGCTTGGCCCTGGTCTATATGCCTCATGTATATTGGTTTATTTTCACAGCGATTCTTTGAGGTAAAATACAATTATTACTAATAAGAGTAAATCAATGTTTTTATTAATACATCACTAACCAGCACTTTACAAATGAAGAAAATGTCAAACAATGTCATCAATATTTAGAGGCAGCCTTCAGAGACTGCAAGAAACCAGCCTCTATTTTTGTCTTGTGTTCCAGAACGTTCCATACACTGTTTAATTTTCAACAAAAATGGCAGGAGACCCGTAATCCTAATCACATTGTTGTAACACTACCAAGCTGCATTTAAGGTGAAATAATGTCTCAGCCCTCAGGCAGAATGGCGCATGTCTTGGCTTTTCTGTGTTTATGGTAGTGTGGTTGCTAAACCAGGTACATACTACGGCACGTCGTCCCTACATGAAATCTCTGGTTTCAAAACACGGAGTGAGAAGAACAAAAGATAACTTAACTCAAGCCTTTGGGTGTGTTTGATCATGCATGCTGTTTTAACACCAGGATGAGTTTATAATGGGGCCCGTTTTAAAGAAAACAGATAAACACTTAAAGAAGCCATTTTCCCAATACTCTGGGCCAGAGTGTCCCCCAGATTCATGCACTAAAGCACTACTGTGACAGTATTGGGGAAGTTAGAGAATTAAGTTAAATTAAGTCATATGCACAAGGTGAGGGGTCTAAACTTCCTCCTTTCACAAGCTGGATCTGTGGAGGGCCGGACCACATTCTCCATTGCTTCTAGGAACAAAGGTAGAGATTGACCTCTGTGACCCCAAGGTGTGGCGGCACACGCCTTTAATCCCAGCGCACGTGCTTTGTAACTCTCTACCGCTGCGTCCCTGACTACTCCCAAGGTTTCACCTGGGACTGGGAGCAGTTGACCAATCCAGGAGAGACACGTCCAGAGCAGGATCTGTTTCCTTTATAAGGGATGGGTTCCATCTTATCTGGGTCTCCGCCATGTGGCTTATGCTCTAGCTCCCAAGAGACATAAAGCTTTTCTGCAGAAGGATCCTATGTGTACCGCGTGGTTCTTGCTGGCGAGACGGTAGCGCGGGACATGGATCTAAGCTTCATTTTTTTTTTTAACAAAGGGCTATTAATCAAAACAACCCTGATAACAGGGGAGGGAGAAAACACGTACAAGGTCAGAGTCAGCCCCACGGACTCTCATAACAATGGCCAAATAAGGGGATTCCTGCAACCCCCTGAAACTTACCCAGCTTTGTCTAAAGATAAAGAGCTAAATTCTCAGCTTATCAAAACTGTACTAATAATAACTACTGTCTGTTCAACCAGTTATGTTTGAGACGACCTGTTTCTGAAATCCCCCGAGCTGTGCTTTAAAGGAGCCTGCACACTCCTATCGGGATCGTCCACTGCCGTTTTGTAAGGTGTCAACCCCGCATGCGTGCTGAAATAGAGGCTCTTGGTCCTGTCATACTGTTTGAATTTGGGGTCTTCCTTCAGTATTTTCTCAGACCTTACAAGGGCCCTGTTCCAATATTATCCTCCTCTTACAGAAAGAGACTTGGGAGTGCCTCCTTCCTCTGTCCCTCCTTCCTTCTCTCCCCAACCGACCAACACCTCCACCTGAGACTCTAGCATCCATAAATGCGGGAAAATAGGTTTCTGTTGTTACACACAGTCTACGGTACTTTGTTCCCGCAGCTTGGGCAGCAGGTGTACTCAAGGTCACATGGCCGTCAAAGTCTAGAGCAGAATCTCATGTGGCTCCCTTCCTGCGTCAGGCTGAGAGTAGCTGCCACTGTTGTTTCCCACTCTGTAGCATCCACTTTCCTTCCTCCTTCCATGGAGAATTCTAGCTGAATTCTAACAGCCTGTGGTGGTCCTGTTCTTAGTAGAGACGGGCTAAATCTGGTCTAGGTTGCAATGTGGCAAGGAGATGGAATTGTAAGTCCACCGAAAGATTTCTTTGCAAAGTGGTAGGTGAGAAGAAACAGACTCTGTTCTACCACTAGGCGTGAGCATGCTGGCTCTCGAGAGCTAGGGTTGGTTCTGGGATCAAGAGTCACCCTGAAGAAGGGATGCTAAGGACCACGGACCTTAGCAAGGTCCAGTGGCAAGACGGCATGAATCTGTGTCATGTCAACATCACATAGACCCTCTCTGAGATCTTGTTGATGAGCTGATTTGTTTTCCCTGTCCATGCTGTTGTGGGCAGTGTTTTCTGTTACTTGTAATAGACATGTAACAGACATGTAATAGGCATGTAATAGACATGCCAACTGAAAACACTATAGGAAAGCCCCAAATACAGCTACCCACAGGTCTCAGAGGGGACCTGAAAACCACTACAACAATGGCCTCCCCTTCCCAACAGAGACAGTTCTTAGTGTCAGATTCCTTTACACTAATAGGGTAGGGCAGCTCGGGCACTTCTTATCAAAGGTCCCCGTGTCTACCCAGTGAGCTGATGCTGTCTCTACTCTTGAACTTTTTTAAATTTGTTCTCTTAAGGACAGCATGGACATGGCTCCAGGTTGGAACATGAGCTGAGAAAGATCCAACCCTTTGCTGTGTGATCTTTCGATCGCATTGTTACACTCCCAACACTGCCCATGAAGTTTTGCTTTGAATGAGAGGGCAGAGCTACCTACTAGGGGACCAAAATTAATCATAGAGGTTTTGGAGGACTGAGAACAGATAGAGAGGCACAGGAAGTAGTAAGGTGGGGCTTGGAGAGGGTCTTAGCCCTTTTTGAGTTCAAGAATGACAGAGAGGAGGTCACTGGTCACTTTCCCACTGCTTCTCCCATCATTCAGATTCTTACCCCTATATCTAACTCACCACCAGTTTTTATTGATAAAGAATAATTAGCTGGGCGGTGGTGACACACGCCTTTAATCTCAGCACTTGGGAGCCAGAGGCAGGCGGATCTCTGTGAGTTCAAGGCCATCCTGGTCTACAGAGCTAGTTTCAGGACAAACTCAAAAGCTACAGAGAAACCCTGTCTCAAAAACCAAACAACAACAAAAAAGAATAACTAGATAAATGCTTCAGCCCTTGGCTCCTGTTTAGCAGTGACTGGTAATCCTCACTCCAGGCATCCAGATTCTCTCGCGCACGCGCAATTGGCAGCCACCCAAAGTCTGTATACTCAAATGTATACAGACTTTATATTTACTTCTAGTGTAACCTTGGCTTATTATAAGCATGCTACAGATTTTGTTGAACAGATGGATTAAAATTAATTAATTAATTAGAATGTTTAATGAGTGTCTAACACTTATTAAATATATACTGCTCATGCAAGAAATCAAGAAGAGAAGACATAACGGAGGAAAAGAAGCCCAAATAAAAACACTGTTTAAAACACTTGAAAATTAATTGTGGACTGGGCACTGGTGGCACACGCCCTTAATCCCAGCACTCAAGAGGCAGAGGCGGGCAGAGCTCTGAGTTCAAGGCCATCCTGGTCGACAGAGCTAGTTCCAGGACAGCCAGAGATACATAGAGAAACTGAAAGAAAAAAAAAACATTAATTGTGTTGAACAGAAATAAACATGTCTGGGTTGTCAGGTGCATCAGTGAACTTCATCTGAGATTGCACTTTGTGTTCCTATATCAAAATATCACACTGTAGCCCATAAGCATGTACAATTGCTAGAAGGAAATGGATCAGAGGGTAAAGCACTTCCCATGCAAGCATAGCACCAGGATGGAGCTAAATACAGGAATTCACATCTGTAATCCCAACCCTCCTACTGTGACTAGAAGGCAGAGACAGGAGACTTCCCAGAGGTTTGCCTGCATGGACATCAGGAAACAAGAGACTGACGCCCAGAGGTAGCCATTGGTGCACACACATATTTGTACTCACGTAAATGTCCACACACGAGCAAAAACATACAAGCACACACATTGAACACATGCAGACACATGCTTTAAAGTAAAAAAAAAAATAATGGTTAGGAAGAAAATGGTTCCACGTAGAGCTATTAAAACAAGCAAATGAAAGCATATCAATAAAATAGTATTAGTTTCAGAGTCATGGAGACAATAGCAGGTGAGCTATTAATTAACATTAAAGTTGGGAGAAAATTAAACCAACTGTCTACTGTGTTAACTTTTTTTTCATAATAATATGCTTGAGGTAACGTATTGAGACATAATGGTTATTTTTGACACACAGTTCTGAAGCGTCCAGTGAGATATCAGATGAGTCTGTCTGGTCAGGAAACTGGTGAGAATGGGAACAGCAGAGAAATAACAGATACCCTTGGCGGGCATAGCCCCAAAGGCCCAAGGATCCCCCTATAAGATCCCCCAAGGCCCCAGCCTCTGACTTGTACAGCAATAGAGGTGAAGTCATTGATACACAGACCTCTGGAGGAAGCCTTTGTCCAAAATAGCACTTCATGCCAAAACCACTGACGTTCTTGTATTTATTTCCCCAACAATTTAGACAGGAGTTATCAGCGTGTATT